ACCGGTTCGCTCTGATCCCCATTTACGCGTGCACCATCTGCTCACGTGATGATGTGTTGCTGTACTCAGTGCTACCGTCAGCCATCTTTGGTCGACACCCACCCAGTGCATTCGCTGCGGTGCACACAGGCAGTGAAATCAGAGCGAACCGGTGCTGAGCCGACCGGAGGAGGGCTGTGATTATTTAATACGGTGCTCTCCTGCATTTTAAATCCCCCCCCACCCCCCTCAGTCTGTGCGAAAGGGGATTACAAAAGGTTGAAGAGGAGGAGGAGGAGGAGGGGGTGTTGAGGAGAGGAGAGGACAGGGCAGCCTCTCTCAAGACAGCAGCGTATTTCACTCAGTTGTAACAAGGAGAGGAGGAGGATGCAGGCATAAAGAGGAGGAAGAGCAGCACCCTTTCTAGCACCTGCTGAGAGCCGCTGTGGGCCTTCCCCCGTCTTCTGGCCTTTTATCCTCTTTTTGTTTTGATGCTCTTTTCATCCCTCTTCTCTCCGACTTGTCATTTTCCTGGGAAGGGGGCTGGTGGCCTCCACTGGTTTGTGGAACAAAAAGCTACTTCGCCCTTTTCTCTTTCCCCCCTCGGCTGGTGTTGGTTTTTGCATCAGCTGAGTCATCATGTCTGATCTGATGCCTCAGAGCGAAACCCCCACCCCCACCACCGACAAGATCACCCAGGCCGCCCGGGAGACCATCTATCTCTGCAACTTCCGCGTGTCCGTCGACGGCGAGTGGCTCTGCCTCCGCGAGCTCAACGACATCTCCCTGACGCCCGACCCCGAGCCGGCCCATGAAGGTAATGTGACTGGTTAGCTCATTGGAGGTCTGAGTGCACAGTGAGCTCTCTTGTTTGGGCGTGGTGGCACACGGGGTCCACACAGGGTCCTCGGGGAGGGTCCTCGGACGCAACACGTTTTGGTGTGGTGACGACGTGTCTGTCTGAGCCGTTGTCCCGATGGATGTCGGGCGAGACGGTTTGATGTCTGAGAGTTGCACAGCAGGATGACGCTGCTTGTAAATAAGCCAGGGCCGCGCAGCAAAACAACCAGGAAGTGCTGCTTGTTCTGTCGTGAGGATTTACAACAATCATATAAAGCCTAATGTTTGGTGTCTGTTTACCTTAATCTGACTAAATGCAACACACAGGTTTGTACGTTGTGGATTTTCAGATGCAACTGAATCCAGATATTCAGATCTGTCCGTGAACACAAAGCTTGTTTTGAACAGATGCATTCTGCAGCATATATATTGTAGTTTATGATTTTAAATATGATGGGAAACATAATATCAGCTGTGCGGCGAGGCTTTTCCTCTTCCTCATCTCTTGCCACGCCTCTCTCTCTCACAGACGGTCTGACGCGCAGATCCACGGTTTTCATGAGTAACGCAGGCGGCCCAGACTTCAAATTCAACACTGCAGCAGCTCTACTGTACAGATATCTCAGAGCAGCTTTAACAGACAGTGACTGTTTATTATCAGGGATGCTGACTTGTATCTAATAATCTAGAACTAGAATGGTCATTCAATCCCAGCTGATATTGATATTTTTAATTTCTTTGCAATATTATCACATGTTAACCTGTTTAGCTCAAATGTAAGGAACATGTAACCTTTACTTTACACACGTGGTGCTTGCGCATTTCTCTGTGTAGCAGGTGATATTTGAATGCTTCCTTGTAGGAAGCCGACTATCTTAACTTGGTGGAGGAAGTGCTCAGATTTGTACTTCAGTAAAAGTAGAAATACTCTGTTACAAGTAAAAGTCCTGCATTTAAACATTTCCTTCAGTAAAAGTGCAAAATGTTAAGATCAAGATATAATATAAATACCAAAAGTAAAAGGAGCGCATTATGTAGACTTGCCCTTTTCAGAACAATGTATATTATTGGATTATAATTATTGTGTTCATCACTTTAATGTTGCTGCTGATAAAGGTTGAGCTCATTTTAATTACTTTATATATTGTTGGGTCTATATCTATCTATCTATCTATCTATCTATCTATCTATCTATCTATCTATCTATCTATCTATCTATCTAGTATTATATTCTGAGTCTGTAGTAACCAAAGGTGTAAAATACTTTAAAAATTGTATAAAAATACAATTTGAGTAAATGTAGGCTCCTTACGTTTTTCTCTTTACTCTGAATGAAACGTTCATCCGTCATGTTGTTGCATTCTGTCTACATAAAAACATAACTTTTCTTTGTTTCCAACAAAAGCTCATTTTGTCGTCTTGTGTTTCTATTTCAAAACGACTTCACTTTTCCTTCCTGGAGAACATTGGATCTCGTAGCACTGAAGGAAATACAGAACCATGTAAAATGTTTTCCCCCTCTGACGGCTCTCGATAACTTTATCTGCTGAGTCATTCCTGCTGTTAGTCCGCTCTGTGTCATTACTACGAGGACTATGGTGACCTCTTTCTCCATCTCTTTTAGATCCCAAGGATCCCATTGCGATCGAGAGGCTTAACTTGATGAACATGGCCAAACTGAGCATCAAGGGCCTGATCGAGTCCGCTCTCAACCTGGGACGCACACTGGACTCTGACTACGCACCTCTCCAGCAGTTCTTCGTGGTGATGGAGCACTGTCTGAAGCACGGGTTGAAAAGTACGTACTCGGCGCTCTGCGCGCTGTCACCCCTTCAAAGCTGCGTAAGTTGGCGGCTCTTACAAGCCTGTAAACCTTCGAGATCTCGACCGCTTTGATAACTGTACAAAAATGTTCGTACAGGACGTTTTTCAGTCCCAGAGTACTTATAAAACCCATAAATCTGTGTGGTTGTGATGCATATTTACTTACTAACATCGTCCCTCTCATTCAAACCAACAGAAGAGACGCACTTCTTTGAAAAGATTATTCCCGGGTAGTTTCCGTTGCTCTGTATGTTGCCCAGTGTGATGGTTCTGTAAACCCAAATGTCTCAACAAGCACCGTCTGTCAACCCTCAGCCAAGAAGACCTTCCTGGGGCAGAACAAGTCGTTCTGGGGGGCGCTGGAGCTGGTTGAGAAGTTGACGCCTGAAGCAGGAGAGATCACTGCCAGTGTCAAAGACCTGCCCGGCCTCAGGTCAGTCCGTTACGTCCATTCCCTAAAGAAACGCAGTCATAACTTCAGATTTAGTTGATATTATCAATGCCCTTTTCCAAAATGTGTGCACACAATGTGGCAACGGTTAACTCTGGCGGCCATGACAGATTTGAAGCGGTTGTTTTCTTTACTTTATTTGGTTCCAGAACTCCTCTGGGACGAGGTCGTGCCTGGTTGCGACTGGCTTTGATGCAGAAGAAACTCTCCGACTACATGAAGACCATCATCAACAGAAAGGACCTGCTCAGGTGTGTTGACTGCGTTGAGACCTATTGGCTCCTAGAATAATGCTGTAGAAGTGAGGCTCAGATCTTATCCATGATATTGTTTTTGTTTTATTTGTTTTTATGTCGATCGCCTCATGAAAGCAGTCTGCACGTACGTTGCCCCACCTTGACCAACCAGCGCCAAGGCCATATGTAGTTCTCTTAAGTCACATTCCATGCACCGTGTTTGGGAAAATTAAAGGGGAAAGTCACAACAAAGTAAAAAAGCGGTGGACAGTTTCCTTGTTTATGGTCAGAATTTAAGAAGCAGATGTTGAATTTTAGGCCCTATTATGGCTGACGCTTCAAATACACTGGGTCCTACATTTCCCATAATGCAACAGAATAGCATCTTTCATTAGACCCTATTCGTCAAAACTTTCTTGATTATATTTATTTTTCCCCAACAGTGACGGTAATCTGTTATTTGTACTTTTATTTGTGAAACTTGAATGTTGTTGTCGGCCGGGACTTCCTCGGAGAAGAGATTATAAATCTCAATCAGACTTTCCTGCAAAAATACAGGTTAGCTAAACTAGATGAAAGAATAACCTTCCGTCTCGTCTCTGCAGTGAGTTCTATGAGGCGAACGCGTTGATGATGGAGGAGGAGGGAGCCGTCATCGCCGGGCTGCTCGTTGGACTAAATGTCATCGACGCTAATCTGTGTATGAAGGGAGAGGACCTGGACTCTCAGGTAATCCTGCTGTCTATTTAACTTCTAACGACACCCGGAGCTGCAGCAACACAAGAACATGTTTCCCCCGCTGTCACAGGAAGGAAGGGAGAGAAGAAGAAATAATCAGACTTCTGGGTTTTGACACTTTGGGCCTCAAGCAGCAACTTTCTTTAAAATTTCTCTCATATTTAGAGAAAGAAATTAGAGTCGTGTGTTCATTGATTGCATTGGAAACGCCATATAAGGGCAGGTGTTGGGCTGTGTGCAAATATTCTAGCACATGCCCAAGAAGTGGAGAGATTTCACCAAAAAAAGTCTGTAAGAAGAAGAAGAAGATTTTCTTTTTCCAGAGTCAGTTTTGTTCATTCAGAAGCTGAACTCGGATCATCCAACAGGTTTTTATAGTCTGTATTGGGATCAATGGACCAACAGTATTGATATAACAATCCAATCATTATAAAACATGTGATAGCCTAAATTTGATTTTATGATATTAATATGTTTCTTATTCAAATATTTCTTTCTGTGTGAAAAACAGTGTTTTTTGTTGTTTTGTTTTAAAGTCTACAGTGCAGATGTAACAGACGGTAGTTTTTACCCTCGTCACTGTTCTTGAGGTAATTCCATCGACATAGACGGCCTTTCTAAATCTCTGCCTCAGCCTCTTATCAGTCTTCAGTTCGGGACTGAAGCCAGAGTAGCCGGGAGGACTGGCAGGTGGCCAGTTTGTCTCCCGCTCAGTAAACGATCATTACTCCAAGTACGAGGAAGCGAAAGCTCTCCACTTACCAACCTGTCGTTAATTAGCGGCTGCATGACTGCTAAAACATTTAAATGACCTGAATGCATCTTAACCAGGACAAAAGATTCATGTGTTAAAATACAAAAGGACGTAATGCATGAAAACACCGTGCGCATCTTAGGTTGTCTAAGTGCACACGTTAGTAAGGCTAGTCGTCGTGTTATTGTTTATTCTTTGTTACGTATGAACTGATGTGTGGTTTCATCGTCATTGATTTTCTGTTTCTTCCTGAATTACTTCTGCAGGTCGGCGTGATTGATTTTTCAATGTACCTCAAAGATGGTGGACACAGCAGTAAGAGTGCAGAGGGGTGAGCGCCGCTGTCTTTATTGGTTTAAAGCTTATTTGTTTGTTTTAAGAATGTATTTATTACACAAGAACAATTATAATCATAAGAAAACGCGTGTATGAGCTAAGAAACAAAAACAGATCAACAAACGTATTCAGGAAGTTACAGGAGAGTTTATATTGCAGGTAAATCACAGGTTAGTTGAGGTTAAAGATAATTAAAAATAACCGTTAGAAGAAGGACCCTCATCACTAGTTAACTGTAATAACACATTTGTTCTGGCAGCAAAATTAAGACTTTTCTTATTTATATTTATTATATTATTAATATTTATTGTTGTTTTTTTAAGGGAGAGATAATAAATATTGATAAAGAAACGGTAGTTGCATTAGAGCACTTAGTACAGCACTTATTAAATAATCTGTAATTCTTTGGGTTTAAAAAAAGTCTTTAGTTTAAGATACGAAGTCATAATATTAATAGTTTCTCATTATAAAGACTTAAAGGATCTTTTGTTTCATCACACTGGCGTTAATGAGCTCCCATAGCAATCAGAGATAAACCATCGTTAACTATTAGCTGTTAGACAACTTGTTTGAATTAAAAGCTAACTACATGTGTTAGTTGTTAGAACGCTGGGATGTCTTTCTTCCATCTACTTGTCGGTTCATTCCTCTTCCTCTCTCTCCTCTTCCTCAGTGACGGTCAGATCACAGCCATTCTCGACCAGAAGAATTACGTGGAGGAGCTGAACAGACATTTGAGGTGAGTCCGCGTGGCCCGTCTCTCTCCACCGCCTTCGTTTAGCTGCTTGTTGAGCTGCTGACTCATGGGATGTTTCTGTCTGCTTGCAGTGCTTCAGTGAACAACCTCCAGGCCAAGGTGGACGCTCTGGAGAAGTCCAACACGAAGCTCACAGAAGAGGTGAGAGTCGACTCGCGGCTGAACTTCCCGACACTGGCTGCTGGGTTTCTTTCTTGTTCACGGAAGGAAGTGTTGTCCTGACTTTTGTCTCCGCAGCTCGCTGTGGCAAATAACCGGATCATCACTTTACAAGAAGACGTGGAGCGAGTGAAGGAGGAGAGCTCGTATCAGCTGGAGTCCAGGAAGGTGAGCGCATCATCCATCTAACTGTTTGTAGGAAAGAATCCCCTTCATAAGCCAACATTTCACTGACTTTTATTAGAATTGTACCGGACGATATCTTATTAACACATTACTAAAATGTGTTACGTAAGTGTTTTTTTTTTAACACACGTGAGGAGTTTTGTCTCTTTTATAAACCACAAAAATCCAACATAGTTTATTGCAATTAGCATCCATTTATGAGTTATCCTATTCGTCGTGTTGTGATAGATATTCATGTTGAGATATTAGTTTCTGATCGCATCTTCACTCTTCTCAACACCAACTCGGGTCCGGCTTTACGGTTAAATACTTTAAAATAGTTCCCTGGGTTGTAAATGTGCGTTGCCGTTTTTTGTCGTTTACATGTTTCAGGCTACAAGAAGCGACTCGGCACCAGACGGACAAGTGCTGGGAGAAACACGCAAGCAGCTCAAAGAGGAAACTTTGCTTCGGTTGGTGAGTTTCAGGCTCTTTCAAATTCTCCTCTACTCTAAACCCTCTATGTTCTCAGAGTATCTATAGATGTCTTTTGCAATTTGTATGTGCAGAACCTATGGAGGTAGAAGTGTGTATGTGAAGTAGAAGACTCTCTGTGTGCAGGATGTGGAGAAGGAGCTGGAGGTGCAGATCGGGATGAAGCAGGAGATGGAGCTGTCCATGAAGATGCTGGAGAAAGACGTCTGCGAGAAGCAGGACGCTCTGGTGGAGCTCCGGCAGCAGCTGGAGGACCTCCGCGTCATCAACCAACAGCTCAACCACAAGTCACAGGTGAGGCGGATGTTTTCACCGCGTCAGTGCCGGCCGCCGTGCAGGATGCTGAGCGGCTTCACCGTGCAGAGCATCCACAGATGTCCTCAGTTACGTCTCTGGTTCTTAAGTGTGGAATCTGTGACTGAGTGGTGCGAAGCAGCCTTCGCTGCAGGGTCTCTCCTCAGAAATGTCGCTTCCTAACAAACACCTCTCCCTGTGTTTGGATGTCCAATGTGTCTTTTCCTGCACGTCAGCAAATTTGCATTATTATTGCATAAAATCTGGACTGATTTGTATAAAGACACTGGATAATTCTTGCAGAAAAGAGAAGCTATAGAAGTGTGCTGCTGTCACTCATCTGACAGTGTTATGGGAAGAAGCAGCGGTGCGACTTCACAACTCTGTTGTAGTTAAAGTGTGACAGAATCACCAAACTCTTCCAGTTTTATCGAGACATTTGAGAAGTTGTTTCCAGTGACGTGACGTTACTCGTCTCCCTCAGAGTGCCGACGCCGGCTCCAAACACAAGAGTGAAGCCATCTCCCGCCTGGAGGAGAAAATCAACCAGATGAGCGGGACCGTGAAGCAGATGGAGACCAGGTGAGCACAGTTTCCTCCACAGCCATGTTTGCTATTTTTGAATAATTATTTGGCGGAACCATTTGCCTACAAAAACATCTTATTGTCCTGTTTTGTCATTCTTCTCCCTCCACTCTCGCATTATTGTTTTCCTCATGGTCATTCTTTGTTTTGATGGCGTGCTCAGTGAGAAGCATGTGGTGAAGCAGGCCCGCAACCTCAACTCGGCAGCGGGGAAGCTGCTGCAGCTGCAGCAGTAGCGCTCACGAGTCTCAATGCAAACATACAACCCTGTCTAACATAGAAATAACCAAACTAGGATGTTATCTTTTCTGTACGATGCGCCTTTGTTGTTGAAAATAATAATTAAAAAAAAACCTCCTGCAGTGGCTCTCCAGCATCAGCTTCGAGCTTCTAGTGTGGACTGAATCCTTTTAGTGGCCCTCAATCCTTGTGTTCTCTGGCAGATCTGGTTTCTAAAAATACAGCATTAATGCTTTTTTATTTATTTTTTGGCAAAGGTAAGACGAGTAGATGGCGTCTGAGCGGTTTTTGATGGACACGTCCTGGAGGTTTGGGAGGTAGTGGACTTGATGTAATGTTATTCCAAAGAATAAGACCACTACCAGAGGCTGGGCTTGAGTAACTTCAACCAGCACAGACCGATGTTTAGTCCAATGTTGTCCAACATGTAGACGGCGGGACAGGAGCGAGATAAAGAGAGAAGGAAAGGAACTGTATGTGAACATACCCTTGGTGTAAACTGTAGTAATCATTAGGCTAATAAAACGATAAACAAACGGCAGACGGCTTCGTCTTCTTTGGGGAAAGTTTTCCTTGTTGGATTTCAGTCAGCTCTTCATTTTTTTTCTGTTTTTATTTTTGTTTTTGTTTGAGTTCCCACCATGTTTTCTTTTCTTTTCTTTTCCGTCACGTTTTCATTTTACCATAAGTTTATGTAACGCCCCCCCCTCCCCTGACCAGATGCAAACAGGCTGAGAGAGAGAGGGCTCTGGCTTTGGAGGCCAACCGGCTCTTCAAACAGGAGTTTGGGGACAAAATCGAGAGTCTGCAGGTGGAGGTGGAGCAGCTGAGGAGGCACAGGTAGAGTCTGGGTGAATGGTAAACATTATGCGTGAGGGTAATGTTTGTTTATGGTGATTATAAATCCTTCGTTTCATTTCATTTGTGGCATTAATTCTAGTTTTTCTGTTTGGTATATTTGTCTTCTTTATTTGTTTTATTCATTTATTTTCTTCGGCCAAAAGCACGATTATGATGAATGTGTGTTTTTAGTATAAACTTGTGTTGACTGCATTGTTTGTCTGGTTTCAGGTCTAATCTGGAGCTGGAGCTGAGGAAAGAGCGCGAGCGAAGGAGTGAGCACCACGACGCCGGACAGTCCAGAGCTCCTCGGAGGGAGAGGAGACTCCCGGAGAACATCCCAAAAGTAAAGCTGCGGCCACGAGGATGCAAAATGTAAAGAGGAGCTGAACTACTCTGTCCTGGTGTGTCATTAGTATGTGTGTGTTTTACTGACAGCGTGTCCCAGAATCCCCATCAGGCAGAAGAGAGAAGGAGAGCGACCAGTTGAACACAGGAGCAGAGGACAAAACAAGTCTGAGCTCCAGCCTGTAAGTAGCTTTCATTTAGAAACAATACAAATATATTTGAGTTGTTTTTATTTTATTCATTTATCCTCTTCTCCACCTTTTTAAGGTCCTCGAGGTCGCACCACGAGGACGAAGAGGTGAGATCTGAGTAAAGTAAAACAAAGTAAAATGTTTAATTATCTGAAGATGGATCTGTTTATGAGGAAAAACAACAACTTTCAAATCCCATAATGGCTGTAATCAACATGTCGTTATTGATTTACTTTCTGCAGGACGAGTCCTTCGTGGAGATCAGTCAGCCCTCCGTCTGCACGATGTGTGAACAGGACGACTCCCTCTTGAAGACAAAGGTACAGAGATGGAGCTTCTTGTCTCATTAAAAGTTTATAATACGGAGTGAACTATCAATCCGAAGACGCTCATAGCGGACCGGTCTTTACCTTAAAGGGTAACTTTGGTATTTTTCCTACTCTATTTTATTTTTATGACTAATGGGGACGACATCTTTTGAAATTGGTCCAATATTGAAGGAGAACGCTCCAGACAGACTCGGGGAAACTCCTCACGGTCACTTTATCATCCTCTAAAAGTGTTTGCTTTTGCCTCTGACCGGCTCAGATTGTTATAAGTGTCTGATAACTTTTTGGAAAGAAATAAAAATCTCTTCACTTTTGCGTCTGTTTCTCGTGTCTGACCAAGAGCCATCGGTGTTTTCACAGTTTGTTGTGTTTGAGTACAGAAAGAGTAGCTCAGTGCTGTTTAAAAGATTCCCAATGTCACGGCTCAATATTTAGCTGATTTTGACAATGTGGCCGAGGGTTTTATTTCTCTGCACGGTTCTTTTTGTAATGTTGTCAGACGCTAACAACAATCTGAGTCAGTGGCAACAACGAGCACTTTTAGTGTCACTTCGACAAATACCGAAGTTCTCCTTTAACAAGAACGTTTTTATAGGAATTGACAACCAGTGATCAGATTAAATGTAACTTTAAACAAACTGGATTTAGATACATCATACTCTTTTCAAATGAGGCTTTATTATCACATAATAAGGAGGAGCGCTCCTCCTCCATGATGGACGGTTGAATCCATTCTTATTATCCACACTAGCAGCTCTATCAACGTCGATGTCTGAAGATGAGACGTGGAAACAGGATAACAAGAAGTCAGACCGCTTTAAAGAAACAATATGGTTACTTTTTTAATCTTCAGTTGGATCAATGCAGCTGTTGCATAATTTAATGTCAAAATCAGAATAAATGTCAGATGGTTTATTGGTCCTTTTGGACGTTTTGCTCAAGGAAGTCCTGTGGCTGTGAGCTCTCTCTCCCTGTGCTTTATCTCTAGAAACAGTGTAAGAACTGCGGCGGCGTCTTCTGTGAGAGCTGCGTGTCCAACGAGCTGCCGCTGCCTTCCTCCATCCTCCCGGAGACCGTGTGCACCGCCTGCTTCTCTCTGTTACTGCAGCAGTACGCCTCGACGCCGACATGAAGCAGCGCTGCATTTCACCGCCAACCAGAGGCGTTCAGCTTGTAGAGCTGGCACTGCAAAAATGCACTTTGTGACTTTGTGACTCGAGGCGTTATGAAAGACCCGATGGAGTCCTGAACTTCTTTCAGTTACTTTAGGTTAGTGATGTAAAGACATTTGCCACTGAGAGCCGTCTGGATGCAGGTTTTCATGCGCTGGTGTCGCCATAATTCTTTCTTTCTGGCTGAAAATGTTTAGCTGCTTTCGTGAAAACCTGCATTTAAAAAGCTGTAAAAAAAACAACTGGAATCCTCTCATGCGTTTAAAAAAAGAGAAACTGACTTTCCACGATGTCCACTAAGTGGATTATTGATTAAAAGGGTCAACTGACATTATATATTTTAAATAATTTAGTTTTAAAAGATGAAAAAGGAAAAAAATGGACACCTGTGTTTCACTATAACGCAGCTATTAATCATATATAGATCCGTATATGTGATGAACTGTTTCACTCGGGTGAAGCATGAATTATCACTCTTTCTCAAAGTGGCCTCTGATGCTGACAAACATCAATTATCCCAAATACTCTCTGACCAAATATTATATCATACTATGATATTAAACATGTTAGCATTTTGTGGAAGACGTGTGCGGTCAGAAAGCATTTTATACTCTAAGTAAACAATGATAAATATACATTAGAGATGCACTCAGTGTCATGAGTTATGAAGATTGTAAAACTGTAAATGCAGAAGTTAAGAGCAGAAAAGTATTCAAGATAAATCACATTGTGATCCCAGACTGCTAGAGTTCATCTAGTCTTAGTCTCGGTCTTGTTGAGTTAGATTGAATCCACTCTCAATATGAAAGTGATCTAGATCTCTGCAAATGTCCCAAAATATCAGCCTGTTCCTTCAAGTTTACAAAGCGGAGTATTCTGGGTAAAATAATGTGGCTACTGTAGCTGTCACATCAGACTCGGACTAAATTCTAAACATTGAGATATTTAGATTCTAGTCTCATCATATTACGGCACTTTTAAATGCATGGCTCTCCGCCTGACTGGCTTGCAGTGGACGCTCCGTGCATCTTTATAACAGCTGATTTTATGTTGTGTTGATTCATATGAAGAATAGTTAGACGCTCAGTAAATCCAGCTTAGTCGTTCTTGTTGAAGCTAATTAACCCGCCAGATGGAAATGCTTCTTAGATCAACAATAAACTTTTATTAAATGTTACTGGTGTGTGACTCTGGATTATTTTAACATGTTTCACAGATAATCCTCAGCTCCTCTGAACTAAAAGGACTTTTTTATATTGTGAAGGATGTGATTTGTTTATTCTGTTAAACTTATTTTGCTCGTTAGAGAAAATACTCATAAGTGGATAGTTAAGTGTTTTAAAGATGCATCCCCTCTTTAATTAACCTTTCTATATTTCATAAAAACACACCACTCACTTTCAAAGCTAATTTTGTAGCATAACTTATTAGTTTATTGAATACTTCTTAAGAGAAAAGACAATTAAAACCTCTTCATTTTGAAGTGATTTGATTGGCCAACTCCAGCTGGTACAACATAAGTAAATAAATGGCTATATGCACGTTTGATTATGAGAAATAGAATTAACGACACATTCAACAGTTTTCCAAAACTGCTCTTTTGATTTACAGAATTAAATCCTCAGACTAATATGTGGAAATAATAAATAAATGTTCTGAGACATGTCATGACTCTGCTGTACCGCTCAGCTTCACATTATCTGATGATTTCTCTCTTCTAGGTGTCGAAACAAACAAGTAAACAGCATTTTGTTCCATATTTTAATGTTTGTCATCTTCACTACAATGACTCAGTGGAATGCTCTTTATTATAAGTTGTTTACGTCGATCTCGGACTGTAATGAACTCCCTCTTGTTGGATAGAGACAGTGAAGGCGATGAAGTTTGTCTTTTGACACCAGAATGTTTATTGTTCGATGTCCAAGTCAGGCTGGAAAATAAATACAATCGTCCTGCGTGTGTGTTCACCTAGAGGAGAAAATAGAACAGCAACAGTAAAACGGTAAATTCACATAAGTATATCAAAATTTCTTCTTTTTACAAAAGGGAAGCAGCACAGAGACTGCAGCGTGGTGTTCTTTGTTCCATAAAAAGCTGGAAATTCCCAGCTTGTAATTATATCTTCTGTGTTACATCTAAGAGGAAACCAGCTCAGTAAACCGAACAGTCTTTAAGAAATGTACAATTATGTCTCCTTTGAAACTTGCTTAAACATGTGAATAAGAAGTATAAAAATTGAGTATTTTTCCATCAAGATGTGAGAATTTTCAGCTTTCTCACCTCCTGTCAGATTCTGGGTCAGAGTTCAGGAATAACTCGATGTATCTTTCTCCTGAAGAAATCAGAGAAGGTTCATATGTTCAGTTTAAATCAACAGCACTCATTCAATCAAAGCCCCAAAAAATAATTTATACGCCGCTGTAAACCTACGTACATCCTGTCTCACGTCTCACCTACGTACATCCTGTCTCACCTACGTACATCCCGTCTCACGTCTCACCTACGTACATCCCGTCTCACGTCTCACCTACGTACATCCCGTCTCACCTACGTACATCCCGTCTCACGTCTCACCTACGTACATCCCGTCTCACCTACGTACATCCCGTCTCACCTACGTACATCCCGTCTCACCTACGTACATCCCGTCTCACCTACGTACATCCCGTCTCACCTATGTACATCCTGTCTCTGGACATGGCGGTCAAGGCGTCCTGGTGGCAACTGAAGTAAACTTCGGCCTCTCCGCTCGGCCTCCCTTCAGAACCGCATTCAATCAGGATCTTAGACACAGCTAGAGGAGAGAAGAACTGCAAGAGGAAAACAAACACATACCATATAAAAACCACGTGCAAAGTGACCTCTAATGCAACAAACGCAACCAGCCTCTCTTTATTTTTTACCTTAACAATGTCTTCTCCGGACGACTGGAAGGGAAGTCCTCTCATGTGGATGTAGTGGCGCAGCAGAGCCGAGCTCTGAGCGGATCCTGGTGGAGCACATGAGTCAGTTCACATCCAGGTCTACAACAAATTAATCAACTAATTTGTCTTTAAAATATCTCCCCACTTTAACACAGTCTACTAACCTAGTTGACCTTTCATTTGTATTTAAAACAACTTTCACTGAAAATAACTGATCACATGTTTCACTACGACACAATATTAAATTGTTTCTTTGGACAATGATACGATATTTGCTGACATCACAAAGTCTGCCACAGTACGATTTGGATTCAATTCAGCCCAATTGTTTCCATTTAACACCATCAGTGACATTTATACTATCGACTCACAACAAGCAACTAAAATATGATCTGACTATTGTATTCCTGAGCTCTGTAGGAAGTGGAGACGCAGACGAGCAATGGGAATTTCAAAATAAAGGCGCATCTTTAAGATGATGATATTGGACCATTGAATCGAATTACGGATCCAGATATAAGTATCACATTATGCACCACAGTACACAGTTGAACAACAGTGTTTGAGCTTCAAATTATTATATAAAAGCCAGATTTTCACCCTGGTTCTTTTTTCATTTTACATTTTTAACCCCTTGTCCTTTTGGGAGGGAGGAGCTAATAAGTCAATACAACCTCACCAGTTTTGTTCTGTGAGGCAAAGGCAGTCCTGTTTGCTGACTGAGGGCCGGCGTGAGGAGAAGCTGAACTCGTCTTCTTCATCCAGCTTGAATAAATCTGCTCCCTTCTGCTGGGAAACACCTCGATGTATCTGCAAATACAAGCAGCACAGATGCTCGTGAAGAGACAAATCAAAGACTTGTGTTCCTCAAGAGATGAGAGAAGCATTGGTACGGGCCTCAATGGGCACGTGAGCAGCGTCCCACCTGTTTCCGATAACATCTCTGTCTCTCTGCAGAGCTTTGTCAGCTGCTTCTTGGGAGGAAAACTGCACAAAGGCCTCTCCAGAGTTTCTTCCTTTGCGGTCCGTGACGATGGTGATCCCATTCTCCATGATGTCCAAACCTGAGACACACAAACAGATACTGAATCTTATTTTTATCATTAAACAAAGTCTTTAATCATGTATCCTCTCTTTTGGTAAAATATTTTTAAGGAACTCATCCATGTATATTAATTGAAATACTTTGGGGCGACCAAATAATCTCTCTCTTTGGTTATCAAAAACAAAGTCATTTCATTTTACAAGGAATAAAACCAAAAATTGCCACGGGGTACGACGAAGTTGGGAGAAGTTTACCCGAGAAAAACTGTCCGATGTCGTCCTCGGTGCAGGAGAAGGGGAGACCTCTGAGACGCACCACGCTGCTCTCAGCTGGAGCCTGGACGGCTTTCTTCAGGATGGTTTCCGCGTCGCTGTTCGTCACTTCATACACTGCAGAAACACACAGAGCATCTGTTTGTATATGTTGTTGTATTTACAGTGCAATATTTGGTGAACGATGGCTCTGTTCAAGTGTCACAGTAAGCCCCCAGGACCCTGAAACTGAAGCGGCTTAATAACCATTCATTTGATCATTTACACTTGTGATTTCCCTGCATCTGTATTTCGACCAGCTTGGAGAACAAAGACTCAAACCTTCCACGTATCGCGGGCCGAGGTACTGCCGGTGCTTCTCCAGAGCTTTGCTGACGTCCTCCTCGTGCTCCATCTCGATGAAGGCTTGTCCCGACGGCCTCCCCACCCGGTCCACGGTGAGATGGATCCCCTTCACCCCGTCACGTATCCTACACTCTGGAATACAGCAGCAATACGGAAGACAATATGTATTTTTCTACATAATCTTAATGTTTAACTGTTAACACACATCTAATTGTTTTTATGTTGGACAATCAGCACTGCAAACAACAATTTCGTAGTACAATAAACAGTAAAGATTTTAACTTAAGACTGACATTTTTGTCATTGATTTAGTTATTAAAGAGTGATGACAAAGATACAGTATATACTGCGGAAGGTTTTGATAGCTGGTAAATTATCTTTACTATCAAATATCACATAAACTTCAGTGAACAGAATAAAAACACAAACTTAAACTGTGAAAATACATCGAGCTAATAAAGTGCTTACACACTGATGCATCTGTCAGAAGCAAATATAACTGAAGGTGTGACGCTTCTCCCAAATCCAAACTCTCACCTGAGAAGAACTGCAGGAGGTCCTGAGCCGAGCAGGACCAGGGGAGACCCTTCACCTGCATGATGTACACCTCCTTCTTCTCTGGTTCTGGATCAGTCGGGTAGACCGGCAGCGGCGGGTAGTCGTCCTCACAAGGTGCTCCTGCCTGGAAGACGTAAATATAAATATGACAATACAGCCACAAAAGCAAGTGTTGTTAAAAGAACCACGGTAGCATTTTTTTAAGTGTTGATGTTTATGTTTTTCCAGGTATTGTACAGTCCAGTTCACAGCTAAGCTGTTTACCGTAGTGATCACTGAGTAATAGAAGTAATGCAGCACTGAATATTTGTTTAATATTTGTCTTTGGCAGTAATTCAACAGTGTTGTTCTACATTTCGTTGGTCCACTTTTACAAGCCTCAACATTAAAGCAATGTACACATCAATGCATCTCTAATTATAATCCAATATATATTTATCTGAATCGGTCCATTCTACATAATGACTACTTTACTTTTGAGTATATCGTGATGCTCATACTGTGTACTACTGTTGATAATCATCTCTGTACTAGTTTGTCAGTATTGCCAGAGGTGGAAGAAGTATTCAGATCGTTTAGTACTTTAGTATAAGTAGTGATGCATTATTGTTTACATCAGTTAAATGTTGCAGCTGGTACAAGTTGGACTATCTTAATAACTTGATGTACTGCTGAGTAGTTTCGATGTTGTATTACTAATCTGAATCTGCAAAGTAACTAAAGCTATCAGATGAATGTAGTAGAATTGAAATATCTTGACTATACTTTATAGTAAAATAAGAGTACAACACAGCATAAAATGTGAATAGTCAACAGTAATTATCAGTCACTAACCTTGGTACAGAAGCGGTACTGGCTACTTCTCACTGCGGACTGCAGCTGACAGACTGCCCGGGTTGTTGGTGTCCATGTCGGCTCCTGAGTGAACACGCACCTGCCCGAGAACACGCTGCTGCATCTTGTTTTAATACCTGTCTGTAAAGTTACTTGTCTGACTGCGACACACCGCTGCAGTAGAGACAACAGAGATTTACTGTTGCGCGACATGTTCGCCTAGCCTAGCAGGGTGTCAGGTCCGGTCTTTTAGCGTGAAATAAGGAGATAAAACAAGTCGTTTTAAGTCAGTTTCCCTCTTAATTTAGCTAGTTGGTTAAGCTACTGGCTTAGCATGGGGCTATAGGAAGCTAGACTGACTCACGTGGGTCAGTCAAGGGCAGAGCTCGAGAGTTCTAACGGAGCTAACGAGCTAACGACTAAACGCTTTGTACTTCCGGTTGACCTTTCACAACAAAAGCCGAAAAATCAAGATATCAAAAATATATTCACATTTTCATCACCTTGCAGAGCTCATAGTTTTGTATTAAGTATGTATGTATTTTATTAAGTATGTATGTCATAAACAACACACTTTTGTTTGTTTTACACTCTATGTAAAACAATTGTTAAATATATGTGACGTGTTTAGAAGACATTTAACCCCCCCACACACACACTTCTTATTTGAAAAATCTCTAATCTGCGACTTAATTATTATTCGTATTTTAATCATAGACCATATATAAGATATTTAAATTAGTAGGTCTTCAGGAAGTGGTATTGTCACTAACTAACTTGACATTTACTCATGCTTCTCAGGGCACATCCCAAGTCTCTTAATTGTCATTTCCTCGCTTGAACCGGAAGTTGTTCTGCTGCACCATATTGACAGCCGTCCCAAAGCTCTTATTTCTGCTTGGAGGAGCCAGGATCGAGGATCGAGGATCGAGGAGGGATCTCCAAGGAGACATGAGCGAGGACGCATGAGAACAGCCTTCCAGGAAGTGTTTTACCCTCATTGTTCATATGTTATGTGATTGGACGCTGCAGCTGATCGGACTGACTGACTGGAGTTTCAAACCACAGTGAAGACAGATCACAGATTAGATTTATGATTCACCATCTGGTTTAAATATATGTTGATTGTAGGTCTGAACAACAAAAGGACCACAATCAACTTTCTGAATTTAATAGAAAGATTTGTCTTTTCATGATCTGATATTTCCCTCAATAACTTTTATTATTGATACAATTAAAGTCAGAGAGAGCTTTTTACACCATTTATCATCATTTTCATTCAGTCATGTGAGGCTGATCATTCCTGAGTGTCGGGTTTGATGAGTTATTTCATTTAAATTTAACCTGAAACATAGAGCCAAATAAATTAATTCAGTGTTCAAGAGAAACCATAATCACATTCTGGGTTATTTAATAATGACGTCAATCTGAATTTCAAAATGTACGGACGGATATAATTCATAAATAAACGCATTCCATCGGTAGAAATCGGTCACAGAAAACAGTTTGTTAAAGAGGTAACAGGCTACAGAGAGAAACACCTCTACAGTTATGATTACTGTCTTTATTAGTTTTTAGTATTATTAGTTACTATTATTAAGTATAGTGATTATGTGTGCAGACACAAACTTATCAAAAGTCTCTCCAGCTGTTAAAGCCGACTGACAGCTGATCACAGCTGATCCGCCGTCATCAGAAACAGGCAACTGAAGAAAGTACGTCTCATATCTCTTAAAAAACATTTCCTTGTTTCCTCTCTCCTCACATTGTTTACTTGCGTCTCTCCATGCATCCCTGGTGGGAGGGACTAAGACGCAAGTGAGGGAAACGAGGATGCAATTAAGAGACTTGGGATGTACCCTCTGACTCACAAAGGCTCAAGCCTTCTAGCTGTCACACTGTTGACCTGTGGTGCAGAGCTCAAGTCCTGCCCCACATCGAAGTGAATGGTAAATGGACTGGACTTGTAAAGCGCTTTTCTAGTCTTCACGACCACTCAAAGCGCTTTCACACTTGTCATCATTCACACCCATTCATACGCTGATGGTAGGGGCCACATTTAAACTGTACAGCCCCACTCACTGTCCGTCGTGTATTACAGATGTGAAATGTCCTAAATATTCCATTTTATAACGTCGGGCAACAGCGATAGTCCATAAATAGTCTCCAACATTAACTAACACACATGTTTATGTTTACTGTTTGTCCATGCTGCTGTAGCTACAAGCTAACGCTACTAGCTAACATGCAAACGCTACAAGCTAGCAGCTTCGCCCGCATGGTGAGCTTAACGCATTTTAGCCGGTTGAAATTGGGTGAAAAATAGGCTTGGATGTTCAGACCCAATTTCAACCAGTTTTCAAGCAGAAATCAACGTTGAAATCCGGGTTGGTGCACACTGGGTATGTTCATTACTCCAAAACCGCCAGTGACCGAACTTACAGATGTAATGCCATTAGATGTAGCACCCTATCATTTAAAATGTGTTTTAAATGGTATTCAGACAACAGCAGGGTGGGACTGTGGTTCTGAACACTCTCTGATCAGCAAACAATGGTGGC